AACAACTGTAACTAATGGCTGTGAAATCAATGTAGAATAGCAGAAAAGAAAAGATCACAGTGTGTCAAATGTGATGTGAATATGCATTATGTTAAGTTTGTCGCAGTTGTAAGTATACTTATACTTGTGGGTATACTAAGTCACATATGTAATACATACCTTGGTGTGTTAGGATCTTTGGGTCATATGACATCCTTCAGGACCTTGATAGAGGATTTTAAGTATACTGCTAAGTATAAACAAAATCTAAAGGGCACTTAAAGAAATAAGGTAGTGTATTTCTTTTTGTTTTTGTGCTATTGGGATTTGAACTCAGGACCTTACAGTTGCTATGCAAGCATTCAACTTGAGCCCAACCCCCAACCCTTTTTTGGTTTAGTTACTTTTCAGACACTGTTTTGTGCTTTTTGCCTGGGCCAGCCTCAGACTATGCTCCTCCTATCCCCACCTCCTGTGTAGCTGGGATTATAGCTGTGTACCACCATACCCAGCCCAAAGGTAGCGTATTTCTTTGAGAGGTCAGGAAAAGTTATTGAGAAGACTCCTGGATAAAGGGTTGAACTGTGTCAGGTAAAGAAGGGGCTCCAGATGGTGATACATGAACTATCTTCTGAGAATACTCAGTAATCTAGACTTCAGCCCAGTATACACATGCATAAGTACTGAAGCAAGGCTACAAAGATACAGTAGTCCCCCTTATCATGATTTTACTTTCTGCAATTTCAGTTAACTGCAGTCAACTAAGATCCAAAAATTTAAATGGAAAATTCCAGAAATAAGTAATTTGTAAGTTTTAAACTGTGCATCATACTATATAAAAATGGATTAATTGAATGCAATGGAGATTTCATGCTGTCCTGCTCTGTCTTAACCTGGACATGAATCATCCTTTTGTTCAGAATATCCACATTCTACATGGCACCCACCCATAAGTTACTTAGTATCCTGTTTGATTATTCAATAACTATAGTGCTTGCACTCAAATAACCCTTAAATTACCTTTAATGGCCCCAAAGTGGAGGAGTAGTGACACTAGCAATTATGGTATGCCAAAGAGAAGCTGTAAAGAGCTTCTAAAGGAAAGGTGAAAGTTCTTGGTTCAATAAGGAAAGAAAAAAAAAAAATCTTGTGCTGAGGTTTTTCAGATCCAAGTTAAGAACAAACCTTCTATCCATAAAATTGTGAAGTAGAAAAAAGAAAATTCATGCTAGTTTTGTTGTGAAACCTCAAACAAAAATAGTTATGTCCACAATGTGTGGTAAGTGCTTAGTTAAGATGGAAAAGGCAGTGTGTGTGTGTGTGTGTATGTGTGTTTGTAGGGAAAAATAATATATAACATGTGTATATATAGGTTTTGATACTAGCCATGATTTCAAGAATCTCTTGAGGACCTTGTAATATTACCCCTGAAGACAAGGAGGCAGGGACTATGTAGGTGAAACCGCAAGGGAAGATTAGACTAATAAGATTACACTTAATTTGATAAGGACAGAAGAGGTGGGGGAGTGAGATACATGGGGGTCATCTTTAGAAGGTTTAAAGTAGCAAAGGTTTACAGGATGGAACAGTAGGCAATGTTAGTCAGCTCTACAAAGTGATGACAGTAAGGGTGGATTAAGTGAGAAAGGAAGAAGACTGCTGTGGGTACCTCAAGGTAAGGCCAGGAGAGGCAATAATGAGATCAGAAACATATAGCAGAATGCCTGGCCTAATTTGACTGGTCTACATCAATGGCTCTCAACTACCTGAGAATGGGTATCTGAATGGGCGTGCACACAAATATGAGAATGGTAAGGAATAATATGTGTTTTGAAAAAGCATAATTATGACATGTTTTCATAATAAACATTCATAAAGTGTCACTATGTGAAATCCCCATTAGGGTCAGGATATGAACCACATTTTAAGAGTTGAGAAGCCCTAATCTCCAAAGTCCCATGTAGTTCTTCTTCTGGGCGACTTTGTGTTATGGAGTAGTGAAGTAAGGCTAGAAGAGGTAACGTAACTAATCAGTGGCAGAGCTGGAATTACACCCTAGACTTTCAAAACCATTGCATGGTTTATATTTTACAAATGAAACAATTTGGGCAAAGGGAGATACTGCTGAGAATGTTCACTAGTTGGATCCAGACACTCACTCCTTGTGCTGCTTTCTGTCAGACTCCTATTCTTCAAGCACTACAGGGAGCAGGAATGTTAAAACACCTTCCACCTTTTTTGTAGTGGGAAAAATACTACTTCGACCACACCACAATCCAAATCATGACCATATATATCTATAGGAATATAAAATATTAAATTACTGTATAGCAGTGATATTCTCTCCCTCCTACATACCAGCAGCTATCGAATTTATCTATGTGCTGACAGGTTTCCAAAATTAGGGTTTGTTTCTAATGCTCTATTTTAAAAATTAATTTCTTGATCTTTTCTATTAACTAATTGTGTCTTTCCCAAATGCACATTTCTCATAAACTTGAGGACAGTTTATGAAAATGAG